TATATGCACACACACACACACACATATATATATGTATATATTAATAGTTTCTTCTTACTGCTTTAAATTTGAAGCCCATTGTATCTAATGTAAGTGTATCTATTCCTTTTTTTCTGAACTGAGAATTGAACCCAGTGCCTTCACATCGAGCTATATTCCTAACTCAGTGCTCTGTTTGCTTGTTGTTTTTTAAATTATTTTGATTCAGAGTTTTACTAAATCTCCAAATTACCCAAGTTTTCCTTGTGATCCTCCTGCTTTCGCCTCCCAGAATCCTGGGATTACTAATATATACTACCACAGCTGGCTACTCCTGCTTTCTTTTAGATTTCATTTCCGTGGGATTTCTTACTGCATCCTTCACTTTCAGTCTATTCTGTCTTTCAACTGGAGAGTCGAATCTATTTACATGAAGGTAATTATTGATAAGGTCTTACTACAGATATTATGCAACTTAGTTTCTAATTTTGTTGGTAGTGTCCCTCTTTTCCTCCCTCCCTCCTTCTTTTCCTTCTTTCTTTTCTCTCTTTCTTCTCCCTCTCTTATATACTCCTCTGTGAATTACACTAGTAGTATATTTTTAGTCCTTGCCTTTTATTTTTGGTTTGTTATCATAGATATTTGGCTTATGATTTCCATAATGCTTACAAAAATGTCTTTTGGCTATACCATTCTATTTTGAAATGATAATTTAACATGATCATGAAGATATGAACAAAAACAAAAGAACAAAATAATATGAATTATTTACAAAATTCTTCATTGGTACTTCATTTTGAATTTTGAATGCCCTATTTTATATCGTTCTGTATTAACTTTTCATCATTGGGAGAAGTACCTGCCATATAGAATTTAAATGAGGAAGGCTTTATTTTGCTTTTGGTTTCACAGTTTTCAGCCTGTGATTGACTGACTCTAGAAACATTATGGCAAAAAAGAGAGCAAAGTTGCTCACTTTGTTGTGTTAGGCAAACAGAGGAAGAGAACAGTGCCAGCCAGCAGGAGATACGATCTCCAAACCACCCCAGTGATCTCAGCTGGGCCCTGCCTCCTAGCAATACATTCAGCTATGGACAGCTGTGGATTGATTCACTGGTAGATGCAATGCCTTCAAGATCCAGGGACTTCTCCAGAAATCTCTAACTCTGGGCAATTTGACAATTAAGCTCAGCTGCCTTACTTTCCACATTGCTTATATCTTAACATATTAATGTATTATTGCTACTTTTGATCATTTTAGTCTTTACACTAATGCTATGAATGGTTTTCGGACTATATTTACAATACTAGAGTATTCTGAATTTTTTGTAAAATTACTCATACCAGTGAGTTTTACACCTTCTTATGTTTCCTTTTTACTCACCAACATCTTGTTACTTTGGTTCAAAGAAATTTCTTTGGCATTTGTTGTAGAATAAGTCTGTGGTAATATATTCTCTCATCTTTTCTTTTTGTCTGGGAATGCCTTTATCTCTTTTTCATTTCTAATGAACAGTTTTTCTGTGTACAGTATTCTTTGTGGACAGGATTTTTGTTTTGTTTCGTTTTACTTTACCTTGTTTTATTTTTACCTCTAACACTGTGAAAATTTCATACCATTGTTTGCAGGCCTACAACGCTTTTGAAAAGAAGTTGGCTGTTAGGCAAAGAGAGGTCCTGTGTGTTACGTCTTTTCTTTTGCAGCCTTGAGAGTCTATATCTTTCACTTTCCTGAGCTTACTAAGTATCTTGGTATAAATTTGCTTGACTTAAATTTGGCTGATTGCCATTGACTTTTTTATATATTTGTGTTTGTGTTGGCTGGGGGTTGCACGGCTATTTATTTAAATAACTGTTTACCCCCTTGCATCCTGAACCCTCCTTGAACCCCAAATACCTGAGCATTTGTCCTTTTCATACTGTCCCAAATTTCCCATAGGCTTCCTTCATTCTGCTTTATTCTTTTTTCCTTTTCTCTCTTCCAACATGTATTTTCAAATAGTTTGTCTTTGAGCTCACTATTTTTTCTGTTTGATTATCTTGCTATTGATGCTTTCTTCTATCAATGTTAAGTTCACTGAGTAATTTTTTAGCTCAAGAGTTTGATTTTTAAAAAATTGCTTTCATTTCTTTGTAGTTTTCTTTATTAGAGTATTGAATGTTTAATCTGTTTTCCTCAAGCTCATGGAGATTCCATAAACAGCTCTTTTAAATTCTCTACTTGAGAATGTACTATACTGATTACTAACTTGTCAATTTCTGGTACCTTATTTTGTGTATTGGTCAAGGTTATGATTTCTTGAAAGCTCTCCATGGGACATCATCTGGGCATTGAAGGATTCAGTATTTATTCTTTGTCTTCTAAATCTGATTTTGTTTGTACCTTTCTTTGCAGAAATTCTAAGTCAGGTATTTTCTCTGAGCCTAGAGTCACATTTATTATTTCGGAACTGGACAGAGCCCAGGTCCTGATCTGTGGGTTATCTGTTATACTAGAGGCAATCCAAGCCTAGATTTTTCCCAAGAACACGATTGGTATGTTATTTAGAATAAAACCGATGAGTAGTTGGCAAGAGTAGTCTGTTTTCAAAAGCCTCTCCCTGGGACCAGGATAGGCCCATATGCCCCTTCTAGTTTCTAGCCTATGGTCAGACACTGGTCCATGGATGAACCATCCCCAGAGTGCTATGCACATCCACGGATACCAAGCTGTGTCACACTTTGAGCATGCAATTTTTCCAGACCAATACAACACTGGAATAGGACCAAGGCCTGCACTGCTATGGGCTACCTATTACTAAAGTGGACTCATGGCCCAAGACAGCTACAACCAGTTAGAGATAGTGCTAAATGGAATAGAAGTCCAATAGATTGTAACTATATTCAGTATCTTTCCCTTGCACTATTGCTATTTATTTTAGAGTTTCAAACTGCATGCAGCCCTTGGGCTAAGGTTCCTTAGGTTTTACCCAGTTTTAGGTTTTCCCAGTTTAGGACTAACTTATCCATCTGTCTAGTGGTGAACACCTTGCTGTACCCCCCAACAGGGGGCGTCTTGTACTATGTTCTGCTGCTTGAGGTTGGGGTACTATATGAGTCGGTTTTTCTATTACTGAAAAACAATGCCTAGTACCATAAATTTAAAGGAAGCGAGCTTTATTTTGGCTCACATTTTCCGTGGTTTTAGTACACGGTCAGCATACTCCGAGGCAGATGAAAAGGCATGGCAGAGAAGCCATGATGGCCAGGAAGCGTGGGGATAGAGGAAGAGCCAAAAACACTCATACATCCTTCCAGATCATGCCCCCAGTGACCTATCTCCACCCCACCAGGCCCCCCTACCAAAATAGCACATTCAGTTATTGAACTAATCAATGGAGGAATCCACTGATGAGTATAGCACCCTGCACGATCCACTCACCTTCAAAACATTAAGGACATTTTAGATCAAATTATAACAGCTAGTACTGGTAACTACAACTCCCTGGCCACCTTGGCTGATGTTGAGTTGGGTCGTGCCTGAGACACAACCACAAAATTCGGCATAGTCTCAGCTGGTCACAATGTGGAACAAAGCACAAGGGGACACAGGTGCTAGGGAAGTTCTATAGCTCTGTCTGCGAACAATGGCTTGAAAATAGTTATGCTACCCAAGATTTGGGGATGGGTGGTGGAGACAGTCTCTTGGACACCAGGGTTGATACTAAGCTGGGTCACATCTAAGTCTCAACAGCTGCAGGAGCCTACATCTCAGGGAGAGTATTGGTGTGCACCAAGCCCACTCCAGATTTGGCTTCCTGCAAATCTGAAACTGATGTGATCCCAACTTGAGTCTGTCGCATTGGTGCTTAGGTCTCCACCTACTGCCAGCTAGTCAGGGGCCTCCATCTGTGAGCTCTAGCTTGAAAATAGGACCTTCAGTTTATACCACATTCAGCGTCTCACGGCGGCAGCACTGGCATGTGGGCTCTGAGACAAACACCTGTTCTAACTTTCATGCCCTGCTTCCCAGAGAGTACAGACTCATTCCCCACTCTGCTACTCAAGGCTGGAGGATAGGTGAGGGAGACAGTGTGCTGCCTGGTGAACGGGCAGCTCAGCAGCTCTGTCCACACTGATTTACCTGAAAGTAGAGGTCATGCAATTTGCTCAGCACTGGGTTTCATAGCGGTGGGTCCAGTACTTGGTTGCAAGTCTAAGACCTTCGCTTTCTCTCTGAAGCCAAAGGCATCTCTCTCCATACTGGGCCGATTTGAGTTGGGAAAGGGGCAATGGGAAACTCCTTTTTATCTTCTCCAATATTTCTTTTCATTTCACTATACTAAAAGCAGACACTATGGTCTCTCACCTGATGTCCTTAGCTCTTGTGAATGGGAAAGTAGTTTGTGTGCATAGCTTGGTGTGTCACTGGGGAAATAACTACCAGAAAATCTTATTCAGTTGCTGTCTCCCTCCATTTTAAAAACAATTTTCCATTGCTAAAGTCACCCTACTAGACTCATAACCCCCATGCTGGTTTGAACCCAGGGCCTTTGTATTGAGCTACAACCTCGTACTTTTTGTTTTTTTCATTTTGGGACCAGGACTCACAAAGTTTCTAATTTTCTCAGGTTGAGCTTGAACCTGCAATCCTCTAGGCTCACCCTCCAAATCTGCTGAGGTTAGGCTTCAGCTTTCTTATTCGTGTGTTACAGTGTCAACTACTAAAACCAAAACTATCACACAATATAGCTGAGTACATTTTAACCTCATTTTATTTGTATTTGTTGTTATAATAACTGTATATATTATAAATACATTCAAATTTTGCTCAAATAAATATGATTTATTGATTTAAATTACATAATAATTAATAAAAAGATATTCCAAATCATTGCTTTTATTAAAGTACCTATTTTTATTAATAAAAAGTTAAAATTTTATAAGCTTATTATTTACCACCACTAGTCTAAGTACTTGACACAATTAGTATTCATAATATGCTTTGAGTTATGGATACTATAATTAGTTCTCTTTTACAGATGAAGACCTGCAAAAACAGAAAGTTCGGGTAATTTATCCAAGATGAAGCAATTAAAATATGAGAGAGACAGAATTCAAATTCAGGTAGCCTATGACAGCCTGCAACATTTGCCCATAAATTGTTAATTATCAAAAAGGTTTCCACTATAAAAATGTATTTTTGACCATCACTGTGATAATTGCTTTTTGCAATTTTGTCTATATAATTAGATGTGCTTATGTTATCCTAAGTGATGAGTGATTTACATGCTTACAGCAAGCCCAAATTACACAGCAAAATTTTCTTTAAGCACAGGAGACCTATGCTCCACAAGCAGGGAGTAATGTGGCAGTGTCTACAGTGTGGTGACCTCTGGCTGGACCCTGTGATGCTGGGGTCAGGGAAATTCAAAGGGGCTGATGACAATTAAAGCTGTCACCAGCAAGATACTGCTTATAGTGTCATCTAAAGTGCTGTCGTTCGTAACTCTGTCGATGTGAAGAGATTTTACTATTTTTTGTTGTCGTTGTTGTTTAGTTGAAGCTGTTTTTTAATTCTGTTTCATAAAATAAAGATTTAAGTAATCAGCCAGATACTGAAAACGTTACAAATATGTAAGTGGTTTCTATGGAACATTTTTCTGTTTGACATATGACCTTTGAGCTCATGGATTTATTAAGTGTGTGTGTGTTGTAATTATACCACAATATAAGGTAAAGATCTATCTGATGTAGAGTGTATACCATGTAAAATGATATATACATATGAAATATATATATATATATACATATATATTGCAAAATATATTGGCAATAAAAACAATCTCATCTTCCACAGAACTCTCAAGGAATGTACCTCAAAAGGATGAAACTTTCTGTTATACCTTGTAATTCACTGAATGGAGAATTTGGGAGCAAGTGGGACAGGTGCTAAGCACAAGACAAGGATTCGGGGTTTAAAGCTGATGGCAATAAAGGAAATTGAAATAGTTCAAGGAGAATTAAATAGAAATAGTGCTTGCAGTGGTGAGAGGGGTCAAGGGAATAGGAGGAGGATAGGAAGGAAACGAGACGATGGGAAGGTTTTCCAGCTTATGTCTAAGGAGATCCTAGAAGGAGCTAAGGACTTGTCTAGTACATAAAACTGGGGTTTTTTCTACCCTATTATTAAAACAAATTCGTTACTGAATGGAGATACAAAATACTGTATTACTAATTTATCATTTTTATTTTGTCACACAAATCCTTCCACTTTTAAAAATAAAGATTTGAGGTAAAAGTTTGAAAACAGACATTTTTATTGATTACTGAAATAGTGTAGGAACAATGTAATTAAAGAATTGTCTAGTGACTTTCTGTGACTACATGGAAAAGAAATCAAATTTATAGAGCCTTTCACCCTTTTGGAAATTACGAAAAGTATTCAACTTTCAAACAATAAAATTGTGTCTTCAGCCCTGTGTCACTCCTGTAATTACTAAAGCTAAATAAATATTGGATGGAGGATTGGGGTTGCAGGCTCCATTCCTTCGCTGAAATTAGAAATGTATTAATGTAGGTGTGCAATGGCTTTAAGTTGTGTTTAAGAAGTAAACAGCCCATTTGCCCATCAGTTGGAAACAGGATAAAGGAGATGTGGTTTTCCTATAAAATGGAATATTACTTAGCCGTAAAGAATGAGAAATTAGATTCATTCATAGGAAAATGGATACATATTGAGGATATACTCCTAAGTGAAATAAATAAGTCACACGTGTAAATACCGAATAGTTTCTCTGGTGTGAATAAATTGTAATAGTACATAAGATCCTAATGAGATAACTGACGTTATGAAATGGGAAGAAAAGGGCTAAAGGTGTAGGAAAGGTGGGATGGCTAGGGGAAGGGTAATAAGTGAAAAGAAAAAAATGTGAGAAAATGAAAAGATGGAAATAAAGTGTTTGTAAATGGGAAGGGGAGAGGGGGTGAAGGGAGGGCAGGGACAAGGGGAAAAATGAGAACCAAGACTTGTCATGTAAGGTACAAGATCCCAGTGATGAATGTAACTGTACTGTATTCCTAAAATATAGCAATAAACTCAATTTTTAGAAAAAGAAGTAAAACACTGTTCAGTGTGGATCTTAACATAAAATTACTGACATATAATAAAAGATCAGAATACCTTTAAGGAAAATTATCATGAAAAAAACAAACTAAATCCCACAAGCAGAAAACTAAATCTCTATAGAAATTAAGATTATTTTAAAGCTAGAGTCATAGAATATAGAAAAATAAGAAAACTGTTGAGAGGAACAAAAACCAACACAACAACATAATCAGTGGATATCTATAAAGCTAAAATTTAGTTGCAAATTTTATTAAAAACTCAGATAAATTAAATGCATGATTGGAGCTTTTATTAGTAAGCCAAATGATAGATAGAATCAAATAACTTTTAAGATGTAATTAGAAAAAGCAACCAAAAATTAGAATCAAAAATAGATGCAAAAGTTTTAAAAGAGATCACATAAAATGAGAATAGTGTGAAAGCAAGAAATAATAAAACAAATATAATTACAAAAATATTACTTTTATGACTGAGCAAGCTCATTGAATGTTAAATATATTGATTAGTCATGTTCTGGTGAAATTTCAGAACATCTTGGATTAAAAGAATACAAGATACTTTTGAGAAAAAAAATCATCACCTAGAAGAGAATAATTTTCATTCTTACCGGTAAATTTAGTGGAGAAATCAATGAAGCAGTGCTTAAAATTCTGAAAAATTTTACTTTAAATTTAAAATTCTATCTAAACGGTATAGTAGGTGATGTGAAATAGGAAGAAAAGGGACAAAGAGGAAGGGGCAATGGGAGGGCTAGCAGAAACCAAAGAAGGGAATAGAACCCATATGAGAAAAATGAAAAATATGGAAAGAAAGTCTTTGTGGATTGGGAGGGAGGGACGGGTTGAAGGGAGGGTAGGGAAATCAGGAAAAAATAAGAACCAAGATTAATTATGTAAAGGTACAAAATTCCAACAATGAATGTCACTATATTGTATACATTAAATGTACCAATGAAATTAATAAAAGTCTAAAAATGAATGAAATAAAATTCTAATTCTTTAATCACAGTATTCAGCAGTTTTGCTATTACCAAGTTACTTTTAGACATAAAAGTACTGAGAGTTTTGCCTCAACAAATCCTTTCAGCAACGAGTACCTAAAATTTATTCTAGCAAAACAAAACGGCAGTTGCAGAAAAAGGAACGTAAGACAAGAAATGAAATGCTAAGCAAATAACCCATAAAATAAATTATTTTTCACTTTAAGCATAATACCATGAAATACAAAGCATTTATTAAGAAATCATTCTGAAAACATAGAGGAATAGATGTAAAACATTAGGAACTAGAGGATGTGACCTGAAAGTGACAAGTTGTGGTGAAGAGGGAAGGAGCAGATACTCTGAATAACTATAGTTTTTAAGTAGAAATTATGAGTTAGAAATAAAGCAATAGTTTACTAAGTGCTTATCATGTAACTGTTTTATGTCTTTTTTATATATTCTAAAATTTTATATTTACGGTATTAGCAATATTTTAGGGTAAGAATTTATAGTATTACTAAAAACAAGAAGCATTCCAAATTCAACATTTAGACTTAAGGTAATTATTTCTTAGAAAAAACTGGCAACAAATATAAAACAGGAAAATGTAAAAATGTACATTGAGAAAAGTAACAGTTTCTATTTTGGACTAGAAAAAAGTCAATACTTCAATTTTAATATCTGAATTTAACAGCAAATTAAATATTTGATTTCTGAAGGAGTATAACTGAGCATCCCAACCATATTCTGAACCTCTCCTTGACATCTGTGGATAAACACAGGGCTCCAAAACATTGTGCAAAACTTTGACTGAGAGATTAGTCAGGTGTTGCTCATGAAATAATCACAAGGAGAAGATAAGTTACCCAGAAATGTCTTGCCAACATTATTAAAAGATATTGAAAAATTTTAATGGTGTGGGGGAAAAATGACAGAAAATAGAGTTGGTCTTTTTACTCAATTACTTGACAATATGACTTTTTATAGGGTAAAGTATTAAAAACAGCACTTTCTCACAAGTCCTTATTTTTGTAGTCTAATTCATGTTTGATTCAAGACACTATGCTACATCTGGGCATGTCTGGAACCCTGAACTTGTCCCTTTCTATATTATTTATGTTGTTTTTCTCTCATTAAATTCTTCCTGAATTACCATGTCTTTGGTCTTTAATAAGCATCATTAATTTTCATTTTGAATAGAATCCAGAAGTAAGCCTTTCACATATTGGATGCCCTATCTTCAGTGCTTCTTGGTACATCTCTTCCCTGTGAATTTCAAAATGTAGTCATCACTAATACTCCAGCTGCTGCAGTATTTTGTTAAACTTATTTAAAAGCTTTTCCTGTAGCTCTACAGTTAGCTCAATCTCTATTTTTTTCTGCTAGTTTGTATTCTCTTGGAACACTGTCAATGATAGGATATAGTAAAAATCCTCCTTTAACCTTGGACATGGGATATTTAATCTCAGCAGTAAGAAAAGTAACTAAGAAAATATCCAATAAAATATATAAATAAATTACATATCATGATTGCTTTTAAAGATGACAGAGTTGTGGTAGCGTACTCAAGTAATTTCAATTGAATTTGTAGCATTTCATTTATTTTAAATTCTGAGTCAATATCTGACAAAATGGTAGAATTTAATAGTCTTGAGGGGATATTTGCTATTACATTCTGTGCCTCAATCTCTGTATTTTGAAATATTTTTAAAAATAAACTTTTAATTATTAGGGGCCTATATACAGATGCCTATCCAGTATGAATAGCTGGTTGGATGATTTGTACCTTTCCATTCATCACTTATGTAAATTTGAATTTAGGCAAGAATTTTAATACTTTCAAAATTATTATTTCTTTCTTTATAAAGAAAATGTATTTTACTTAGAGAGTATGAACATATGAACTATCCCATTGTTGGAGCAGTCTGAAAAGCAATTACAGAGTATCTGGGCTTAGTAAAACTTATAGCCCCACCCATCCACACAAACATAAATTACTGGGATGCCTTCACCATG